TATATATATATCAGGGATTTCCTTGACAGACATTTCTCTATTTTATTTTCAGTATAAAGCTCTCATACCTTACAAATAGACTATTAGGAAACGTATTGCAACACATGCCCTCTTTCAAATGTGATAGATCTTTTGTTTTAATAACTGCCTGCCTATATTTTAAAGCTATTATTAAACCAAGTTGAGAGTAGGCTCTCTAAAGCACAGATTATGTCGGCTCTGACAATATGCAGCAATGCATATTTGCCTCCTCCAGTGATGGCAGGTCCAGGCTACTTGTAGCTGCTTCATAGCATCGCCAATTCATCTGGCTCTTGTGTTGCTCTTCTTTGGCCTTTGGGTGGGCAAAGATTCCTGTGCTCATGGCTCCTTTTTTGACGTCTTACAGATTGTGGGAATGAGCTGCGAGTGAACATTGCACTGGACGTGCATTGGGCATTGTACACATAAAGCTGACCATACACCTATAGACAGGCCCCTGAATTCAATCTTAATTTTCTAACCTCTATTAAGCTGGCCATACACCTGCAGATTTTCTATGGTCGGATGGAGGAATCTCCCGCTGGGCCAAGCTTCAGTGTCTTGCTAGTCGACCCCGCTGGCTGTCAAAATACCTGAACAATCTGATTGGATGCAGGCATTGTTCAGGTGTTTTGTGAGCCAGCGGGACAGACTAGCAAGATACTGAAGCTTGGCCCAGTGGGAGATTCCTTTATCCACACAGTTTAGTGTAGATGGAGGAATCTGTTGCACTTTTCCCATCTGACCATAGAAAATCTGCAGATAATCTATAGGTGTATGGCCAGCTCAATACAGGGGTGGAAAATTAAGGTCAAATTTAGGGGCCTGTCAATCCAATTCAGGAGCCAGTCAGATTTCTTTTAGGAGCCATCTGGCTGGACGGGGGCCTTCCGCCATTGCTGGACGGGATGGGGATTTTCTGTAATCTTATATACAGGTGAAACTCGAATAATTAGAATATCGTGCAAAAGTTCCTTTATTTCACTAATGCAACTTAAAAGGTGAAACTAATATATGAGATAGACTCATTACATGCAAAGCAAGATAATTCAAGCCGTGATTTGTCATAATTGTGATGATTATGGCTTACAGCTCATGAAAACCCCCAAATCCACAATCTCAGAAAATGAGAATATTGTGAAAAGGTGCAATATTCTAGGCTCAGTGTCCCACTCTAATCAGCTAATTAAGCCATAACACCTGCAAAGGGTTCCTGAACCTTTAAATGGTCTCTCAGTCTGGTTCAGTAGGAATCACAATCATGGGAAAGACTGCTGACCTGACAGTTGTGCAGAAAACCATCATTGACACCGTCCATAAAATTAACTTTTGCACGATATTCTAATAGAGTTTCACCTGTAGGTTACCTTTTGTTAGCCAATGTGTCACCAACACAATGAGCACTCTTCAAAAGAACTGGGAGTTCAGACGGAGACCCTTCCAGGGACAAACTTCCAGAGGTGTTCTGCCAGATGTCTATACTATCCAGGCCAAATGTCCTCTCGGTGCTCTCCTGAGACCTGCCATGAGTAACAACCCTACTGCACTTCCAGCCCCCACAAGGCCATTTTCCAGCTATGTACTTTGCTTCTATTGCCCTAAACACCAGAACCCTGGCGGTTAGCTGGCTACCTGAGAAGCCTTTCTAATGAGAGCTGCACAGGCCTTACTACCCCAATCTGGCCATTTCTCTCTGGCCTTTGTTCCTCTCTTCTGTGTTTTTTTTCCGTTCTTGCTTCTCTAGTAAGCTACGCTTTTGGGCTCACTAACAGTGGAAGCAACCAATCACTTTTGGTTAAGTTTTTTGTTTAGCCAATCCTAACTGAGAGAGGCTGCTTTTTAGAGCCCGCCTCCCCACTGGCAATGGCTCTCAATGACCTTGTTGCCAGAGTTTGCAGTTTCCCTGGCAACTGGGATTTGTCCAAGCCTGTGATAAATTCTGGGATAACTGATAAGCCCGTCATATGAGAAGAAAATGTTGAAATGTGCCTTATTGCCATGTAATAACTGTGCAGATATGCTGCCTTAGGGTCACCTGTGAGATACAAGAAATCTGTCAGCTGTTTAATTGTCCAACCTACCTGGGACAAATACCCATTATACATTTCATAAATACATTCTATAGCTATAAAAGCTGTAGTCCTTTTTTAAGTAAAGAGCAGTGAAATACTATCTACATTTTTTTTATATTTTGTTACAGTGGAACAAAAAATTTAAAATATCAGGCTTCTGACAATGCCATAGTCATTGATTGACTGGCCTCACAGACCAGTAATGGCTGTCTTGATTTGTATTAATGGAGTTTATTAAGTGGTATTGTGATTTGCAGTTTGGCCTGCTAAAGTTATGGCCAACTCCATAAGTTAAAATATTGGAGATGATGGTTTAAAACCGAGATTGGCTTTACAAATATCAATACTGTAGTCATTGGATCAACAAGCTGAAGGACCGAATCATGCAAGGCTTAAAGCAAGCCAGTGCTTTGCCCATGCAGGCCAAACAGGTTTGATTTAATGTCTATTTACCAAGCGGCATATATGGTTTCTACCACTTTGTGCTGTTGGAGTGAGTGAAGATGGTACCCAGTACTTTGGGTATGCAGGATCATGTGATTTGTTCCTCTCATGGGAGAGAACTGGTGTTTGAGGATTGGCCCAGCACTGTTGTATTGGAGAGATTTTGACCGGTGTAAGCCCTAATTTTAAAGCTCACACAGGTCTTCCTTTCGTCACTCCCAGCAGCTGCTGTGAACATAAGTCTCTTGGTTTGCGTTAAGTGGGCAAAGTGCATGTTGGGTGTTATCACTGGGTTGGTGTTGATCGAAGCTAACATTTAGTTATTTTTAAATCTTCATCTCAATTTGCATGCTTTAATTGCTATGTCCTTTTCTGTGACTCTCAGTGCTGTGAAGTAGCAAACATCCATAAAAGAAGCAGAAAGATGCAGAAAATCCTTTTTCTTTTTTTTTTTTTCCTTTTTAATGTTTGCTTTTGCTATTTTTTTTATGATAATCAGTGCGTGACGCACACTTGTTCTGCTGAATGTTACTGCTCTTTGTACTTGGGTCAAAATAAAATGTGAGTTTGATTTGACTTAATATCCGCCTTAACCATCTCCCTGTGGAAAAAAAAAATGATGGCATCTTCTTGCAGGTTTATTTTTCTTCTGAAGCTCTGGAAGCCTGAATCCTAGAGTGCTTTATTGTACAGACTTTGAGTGGTGAAAGTCTATGGCTGTTTTTTTTTTTTATAGCTCTGTGTTGGCTTGACTGGCCACCCAGCAAATTTAATGGCCAGTGGACCAGCTGGGAACCTGTCTTGCCATTACGAAAGAGAGCTGAATGTATACAGGGGACAGGTGGGCATTCAAGTGAACCTGTTGCTTTGTGCTCCATGGACAATGCACATGTTGAATACTTCCCAAGGCCAGCTTTGCACTGCAGAGCGACCCTATGTTTTCTTTTTTTCTGGGTACTTTAGAGAAAACCTAAGCCTACATGCATGTACCTCCAAGGTCTATCTTGAGTCACTCCAGCCATTTTTTTTTTTAAGATGGCATAGGAGAGGGTGAGACTTTGGCAAGGTTTTTGGTGCCCCATTTGAGGTGATTTATTTTGTATTTTCCACTTCCTGTCCTGTTGGTAACATGACTAAAAAACTTCGACAGTGCCTGACAAAACCTGTTATACATCGAATTCTTCCTATAAAATGAAAGAATTAGGATTGTATTGGTAGCCCTTCTATATAATTCTTCTGTAAATCAGGTTACAGTTTGGGTTTTCTGTCAGTATTTTGCATTGGGCTCAAATGTCAATGGAATTGAAAAATGTAGATTCCTTTTGCATTAAAAAGGCTATTTGTCCTTCACTGTGCCATTGCCTTTCCTGTTTTTAATTCAGACTTGTTTTGTTTTAATAGGTATTTCTGGAAAGAGTCAGCTTCTGTTTGCACTGGTGTTTACCACACGATACCTGGATCTCTTCACAGCGTTCATTTCATTCTACAACACTGCTATGAAGGTAAGATGCTTACCTATAAAGGTGATTAGCAGGGGTGTGGAAATGTTTTCCAAAATCTACTTGTCCAAGGACTAAAGCTGGGGCACAATCTACTTGTCCCTTTATGACAATCTTATTGTCCTGAAACAAAAAATTATTTTAACCAAAACCATATTTAAAGTGACATTAAACCCTCAGATTTTTTAACATAAAACAATAGTGAAATGTGTGCCTTACTGTAATCCATGGTAGTTTCCCTTCTCTTTGCGGCTCTTCCTTTTTTAAATCTGTATCTCTTCTCATGCTCTGCAGAACTTCTGTTTTGCAGCAGACTGCCTTGTCTCTGAAATGGATACATGGTGTCTGTGTAGGTTCACAACCTGAGCCAGCACTACAGGAAGAGGCACTCAGCTGCAAAGGGAAGTTCTCCCCCACCATAAGAAGAGATAAGGATTTAAAAGGAAGAGCAGCAAAGAGAAGGGAAACAACCATGGATTACAGTAAGGCACACATTACAGTATTGGTTTATGTTAAAAAATCTGAGGGTTTAATGTCACTTTAACTGTGTTAAGTGCTTGTCATTGGTCAGCATGGTCAGGTGACCACGCTGACCAATGAATGCTTGCAATTTGCAAGCAAAATTCAAAATACATAGTGCAGGGCTGCAGTACAGGGTACAGAAATTACCCCCGTACTGGTGGAGGGGAAGGACCGTTCGCCAAAAGGCAAGTATGAAAACCACAGCGGGGAGGTAGGGCAGGGAACAAGCAGGCTGCTACACGTGATCTGGGCGGTTGTACAGACGTCCAGATCATTGGTACAAAACAAGCGGCGGCTCTTTTAGGCCTGCTTGCCTGGCAGCAGTCCAGCAACCTGTCCAAGACGTGGAACTTCATGCCTTCATAGCACACCACTGTGATTTAGGCTTGGGACTGGTATTAAAGGAAGTGTGTGCTGGGATTAATATGGAAGCTGCAGTTGCTGACCTACTTCTGAAAATGCAATTGCCTGTCTGCTTCTGGCTTCAATACTTTTACTCACCCAGAACAAATAGGATAGTATTGCAGCCCTAGAAATCGTTTTATTTTAGAAAAAAAAAGTGTGTAGGTTTTCTTTAAACTACTTGCACTATGCTGTAGCTGCATGACCCAGTATGTAGGTTCAGATGTCCAGATATTTAGAAAATGACTACAAGGGTGCAAATAGTCAACATACTGCTTAGAGGACTGTTTCGCTGTCCAGCTGTTTTCAGGATTTTGTCTGACTTATCAGCTATGTAGGTTTAGTGGGTTCCTTTTCAGAATGCTCCTACAGGGTAAAATAACTCAGAGTAGTGATGGGCACCCTGCAAATGGTGTTTTAATAAGCCAAGTACCTACACATGATTCCCTTTGTTGGCAAATTCAGACTATTTCTGGAATAAAGGGTAGGAGGAGTCAGGACCACTATTTAGTGCCGGAGCAGACATGGTCGATCCAGGTCCTGGGACAGGATGATTTCAATGGGGTACATCAGTGCGAAAAATCGCAGAAAAAAGGTACTCGTACCTTTTTTCTGCGACCCGCCGTACTGCTGTTTTAGCCACGATCATGTTCGGTTGCACGGACGAAATCGCAGCGGGAAACCGTGCGATCTGCCTGGCGTGACACGGGTGGCATGACAAAATAATGGCACTGCCAGCGCGATCGTCAGTGGTGGGCCACTCCGTACCAGCACAGCGTCGTGAACGATTGCCTCGCGGATCGCCCAGGTGTGACCCTGGCCTAGAGGTTTAGGATTCAATCCATCTCCTCATGCAGTATGGGTATGTAAAATTTAAGCAGGTAAGGGCCCTCCAGCTATTGGAACTGCTGATATTTGGACAAACTGTGTAATGGAGCAAACCATCCCTCTGCTTGCATGGGGAAAAAAAAGAAAACGCTGTGATGCATATCGTAGGGTAAAGAACAGATCGTAGCACTTTTAATGAAGGGAAGATGTCTTCCCACATTTCACTCCTAATGTCTGCCTGTGTACAGATTATGGACATTCTTATATATTGTAAGGAATTGCAGTGACATTATCCTGAGGAAATGCATTTTATATCTGAATAATTTGATCATAGGTGGAAAAGCATAGTATAAAATACTTTTCCTCAAGAACAGATTACATGCTGTTGTCAATATCGCTATGAGCTGCTCCATGGCATAACAAAGCATATATTATGATCTTAGTCATAGGCTCTCCTTTCCCTGTGTCCGTTTTAGCCTCTGCACCCGAATATGATGCATTGTAGACAGGATAAATGATCCCTGCATCAAAACTCTGCAGGGTTATCTGGAATGTTGCAGTCATTACTCATCTGCTTTCAATAACTACTCCAGAAACTCTTATGAGGCAGAATAGTAATAAGGCGGTTTGCTTTATTCCAGTTACTTTAATTTTGTTTAGACATTTATTGTATTTTCTTCTGGATAGACGCATTGTTTTCCGATAATGAAACTGAAATGCTTGTTTGGGGACTCCTGGTATGGCAACGCCAAGGCCACTTTCCCATAATGCTCCTGTTCTACAGGCAATAGTTGCCATTCTGCAAGCTCATCAATGGTGTTCATGCATTTGCAATATCTCGGCTGCAATGTTTCCTTCACTGGCATTATATCCAAATGGTTTCATTGAGCAGTTTGGGCATTCTTAATGAGTTTGAAAGAGGTGCATAGATCTAGTAACTATATAAAGCTGTATAAATTAAAAGGGGATGGCTGTCTAATGTCTGGTTCACACCTAGGCGTCACCGTTTTTGTGCGTTTGTGCTCATTTTTATGTGCGTTTTAAGATGCATACTTGAAGACGTGCATTTGGACTGGCAGCTCGTAAAACATTACCGGAAATGGATAATCGCGTGTTTAAATGCGCAAAAACGCTCACGAAAATGTGCACCATGCTTCTGCCTCTTTGGGCATTTTCTATTGAAGTCTATGGGGCAAAAATTTGCTTTTAACTGCCCAAAGAAGCTCGTGTACCTTTTTTCTGCGTTTTGGCTTGTTCCTGTTGGCATTTGTCTGCTCAGGTGTGAACCAGGGCCATTGAAAATCATGGGATTTCTTGTGTTGGGCATTTAACCGCGCTTTTTGAACTGCCCAAAAACTCCTAGGTGTGAACCAGGCTTAAATGGTGGTATTTTTGGTGATGTAATGTTCCTGGTTTAGTCCTGTATGCCTCCATACGGTTTCAGTTACCATAATGGCACTAGTAGATTAGCCTGTGGAAGATTTAGGTGTGTCCTTCAGCATTTCTGAACAATAGTTACACATGATTTCACAAAATTTAATGCAAGGCTATGTTTAAAAGCAGGCCGGAGTTGGGCTTTAATTTTGCAACACTTGAGTGGAACGGAAAACAAGTTATCATTGGAGGTAAACTGGCCATAGCTAAGCAGCTTTATAATCTGTTGCCAGCATCTGTGTATTTTGTATGATAACAGAACTTGCATATATATTTTATAATCAACTTGTATTAAAATCCTGCTAAAACAAGATGACCAGATGATGCACAGGTCACTAAGGATCATAATGCACATGGCACCATTTATTTGTACTTGGCAGAAATGTTACAAAAGAAAGAAACATTTTTGGATGTGGCAGCAAAGGAATACATGCTTTTTAAATGCAGACGCTCAGATGTCACTCATAGCATTCCATTTCAAGATGTGCCCTCCAGGTGACGAGCAGTGAAAGCTGAAGCAGCAGTTTAGTGAAGTGTTTGTGTAAAGCTAAGGAATTCAGAAACCTAGACAAACCATTGAGCAAACATTAGGTAGAGTGGAGGAACCCATCCGCGGCTGGCTCCTCAATTTGACCCAGTAAAACGATATTGCCGATAACTTCTCATTAACAGTTGTCCACGCTAAAGGTGAATTTTGCTCCAGAACTTTTCCTTTTACGTGTGGGTCTTACATTTTGCTTTTTGTTTTCCAGGTGATCTATGTTGCTTGCGCATATGCAACAGTTTATCTCATATACATGAAGTTCAAGGCTACCTACGACGGAAATCATGACACATTCAGAGTGGAATTTCTCATTGTTCCTGTTGGTGGATTGTCCGTCCTTGTCAATCATGACTTCTCTCTCCTTGAGGTACTGTCTGTTGTATGCTATTAGTAATATTTTATGTTCTAACAATGTGGGCACATCATTCTTTTTTTTGTGTGAGACCCAGTTATGTCCCCATTGGGTGCTTCCAGCTTGCCGTTTATGACACATAAAGTGAAATCTGCATATCGGTAACAGTGCTGTTGAGACAGCTAAAGGCGGCCATATGCTGTTAGAATCTTGTTCAAACATTTGGTCAAAATATTTCTTCGGAGCATTCGATCTTGCCATCATTGAGTCAACTAATTTTAATCATAACCCCTTTAAAAATATCTTCCAATCCTGCTACTTGTTACGAATTTTCCTTGAGCGAAAATCACATTCATAGAAATTCTTTTTTTCAGGTAAGAAATTAGAAAATGTTTCTGTATCCCAAGTCGTATAGTTGTTCAGCCACTTTTCTTTCTGATGTTCCCTCTAAATCTGTTTCCACAAATGGCTATCCTTGTTAAACTGCAACCATAGCCCCACATAATAAAATATACTATATGGTTGCTCTCTCTGGCAGCTGCTGGAGCAGGATGGCACTGGTTGAACGATGAAGCACAGCTACATGGCTATAGAAGGGGCTGTTTTTGAGATAGCATTGGTTTGGAAATGGCTGCAGGCTGGTCTGTTTGCACTGAGAGGTCCCTGTTGATGCAAATAAACTGAACATACTTTCTGTAGCCATGCAACCAAGTCCGATTGCCCCTAGTTATATTCTGTGAAGGTGCCCATACAATGGCCGAAATTCGGGCAGTTTTTACTAGAGCTGCAGCTAACTATTTTCAAAATCGATTAGTTAGCCGATTATTAAGTTCGATTAATCGGTTAATCAGATAAAAAATAAAATACATTTTAAAGAATGGCTCCAGTGATGGGACTTCTAGTTTGTATTGAGATTGCAGTCCATTACAGGAGCAAGCTTGGAGCGGGGGTTCTCCCCGCGTCCCCGTGCCGATCGTGGATTTGGACGGGCGGGGAGGGGGAGCGTGGATGCGGGCAGGTCTGGCAGCGGCGAGCGTGAGGTGGGGGAGGAGGTGTGGCAAGCAGCGTGTGTTAAGCCGTGAACAGGGCCAACCAATCAGGAGCCGATTAATCGATTATTGAAAAAGTTGACAACTTTTTCAATCGATTATGTCGATTAGTTGTTGCAGCCCTAGTTTTTACTGTACCGGTGGCCGAAATTTGCACAGTGTGGGGGGCTGTGGGCTCCCTTTCAGCCGGCATTCCTTGATCAGCTGATCGAAGGAGCCTGCTGGAAAATCTTCGTTCCATCAGAGCCGGCAGCCTATGAGCTGCCGGCTCTGATCGGTTATTCTGACAGGTGGTGGCGGGATGTAAACAGCGGGATTCCTCGATCGACGCGCTGTTTGTTGATGGAGGAATCGTGCCAATTTTTTTGGGTTCAGCCCGCAGGTTTAAAGAAAAAAGACAGGTCTATGGCCAGCCTTAGGGTGGCTGTGGCTGCATGGGAGTGATAGTAGTTGTGGGGAAGAGTGGCTTAACAGTTCACATATCGTGACTTGCAAAAAATGTTATACAGAGCCCATCGAGTGCTACATAGGATCTACAGTACACTATGAAAATGGCAAAAAAAAAAGTCAACCCATGCCATTTAAAAAGATTTTATCTGGCAGATTTCCAGTTTAGATTAAAAGTTTAAGGTGGCTGTTATGAGGCAATTCCCATCCTTCCCCTTTCACTTTGTCACTTCTCAGTGCCCTGTGTTTTAGTCCATCTTTGAGACTGAAGTTTAAGGTCTCCCTGCAGCTAATGTTTTCTCATTACTAACTTGCCATGCCCCTATCTGCACTGTCTCTCTAAGTGGGGGGCACCAGTCTTGGCAAAAGCAGGTCTTTACTTCATGTCACAGCCTCCAGCAAGGAGAACCATATGGTAATGACATCACATCACCAAATCTCAGTCCAAATTTCCTCAGACTAAACTTTAGGTGATTATACCCATTTTTGTGCTATTTATAGACAGAGCACTACAGGGCACCCTTCTTGTAGCTGTTAGAATAGTAGCCACTTCAGGAATACTGCCATCTTGTAAACTTGTATCACTAGTTCAGATTTGGTCAGAAATGAAATGTTATTTGCTGAAATTGAGCTTTTTAATCCGAAATGTAATCGTAAATAGCTTTTAATATGCTCTGAAAATGTGACTGCTTCAGTTGTAAGATAAAGATCTTGTGGAGAGTTTGTGTTCCTGTGTAGTCAGTCTGTACAATACGATCAACTGGCACTTTTTCAACCACCCTTAGCTTATAACCGCTAATGGGGGAGTAAAACAAAAGGTTCCACAGCAAATTGTAAGATATCAATGGTTGTAAATGTTTTGGTACAGTACATATTTATGTATAAGTGTTTTTGGTTCTTATTTCTATTTTCCTTGATCTTTCTAAAGATGTCACTGTCTTGCTCTTTAGATCCTATGGACCTTCTCCATCTACTTGGAGTCTGTGGCCATCCTGCCTCAACTCTTCATGATTAGTAAAACAGGTGAAGCGGAGACAATCACTACACATTACTTATTCTTCTTGGGCTTGTACCGTGCCTTGTACCTCTTCAACTGGATTTGGCGCTTCTCATTTGAAGGCTTCTTTGACCTGATTGCCATTGTTGCGGGCGTGGTACAGACCATACTGTACTGTGACTTCTTCTACTTGTATGTTACGAAAGGTGAGTGCACTTTTTTTGTTTGAATGTGAATTTCGGCTTTTGTACAATAGAGATCTGCTTGTTTTGGGCCAGTAGCTTGGGAATGGAAACAAACTCTAGATGTACAGCACTCTTTGCTGATGTGTGAAAGGTGGCTGTGACCATTGACCCACTTCTGAAAATGCTAGTTGCCTAGCTCTCTGGGTTCAGTACATTAGGCTACTGACCTGGCTCAGTCTGGCAACAAGCAAGGTCATGGTGAACTCATGTGTTTAGGTCAGTGACGCAGAAGGCTTTGAAGCCAGAGGAGCAGCATAATGGCCAAGGAGCAAGCATTTTCTAATGCGGTGGTCTGCCAAGTTCATACAAGTATGCACAGCTATAATATAGGACTGAATATTCAGGTCCCTGCATAATCCTAGTTGTGGCTGGTTCTCCTTCCTAAGGACATAGCTTGGGGTGGCTGTAACTTCACCTCAAGCCCTTTGCAGGCTTTTGGAAGAGATGACACCCAATTACAGGAATTGGGGTAATGAATAATAATGAGCTCAAAACCTCCCACCTTTTTCCCCCACAGATCTGTACTTACTGGATTCAGTGGCACAGTTCCACTATTTACATCCAATGCTGCAATGCTCCCTCTGCTGGCTGCACCTGCACATTACAACCCCATCAGCTTTAATGGGGGCAGTCTCTTGGCCAGAAGGAGACTTGCAGTGGTGGATGTCTACAAAAGGCAGCCATTGGATCTTAGCAAGTATAGATCTGCTTCTGAGAAGGAAGGCGAGGGTAGGATTGTTTAGGTCAGGAGAGCGTCTTAAAGTGCACTTATTTAAACCAAAATCTAAAGTTTTTTTGGGTGCTCAATAACAAATTATCCTTTTCTAATTTATCTTATTTTTTTTTCTATTTGCAGTACTAAAGGGGAAGAAGCTGAGTTTGCCAGCATAAGTGCCAAAGACTGGGACCAGCAGCTGTCCTCCACACCGTCTGGACAGAACAATCCTTTTGAGCGAAGGCATAAGATGCGTGAAGCAGAGTCAAATACACTACTTTTATATGCAGAACTGCCTTCTTTGCTGCCGGAGAGGCCCAGAGCAATGTGGCATGACGGCCCCTCCAACAGCAAAATGGCTTCTCAAGATGACTCTGGCCAACCAGCTGATTCGTTTTATGCATCTTGCCTTCCTTGGTTTTTTTATGATGTATAAAGATTTTTTTACATAAAAAGGTATACTGTAATAATAGATCCAGTGCGCAGTTTCAGTTCCGTAGCTGTGAAATTTTGGTGAGTTTACAACTAGGTTCAAATGCAAGTATTTTTCTCTTCCCCCCCCTATCCCCACCCCCCCCGTCCTTAAAGTACTGGTTTTGTTTTTCAAAAGCTGTTTATTTATATTTCTGATTGTTTGATGGTTGTAGTCCGTTTTAAAAACAAAGCAAAAAAAAATTCCAATATCTGAGTCATTCCACTATTAATTTATTCCATTTCTTTTTCTGGTATCAGCACATCTGTCAAGGACTCTTCTTTTCCAGTGCTTTTCCATCCATTTAAGATGCCTTGATGAAATATTTTTTGCAAATAAAGCATATGGATCACAGAGTGTTAATGTCGGCATGTTGCAGTGCTTTCTGGCTACTAATGGATTTGGTTCCTGTTTGGAGGAAATACAAAGTTTTTAGCTTTTTTTTCCCCCTATACATGTCACCAAGTGTATATGTATTAAAACATGTTTTTTGGGCTTTTTTTTTTTTTCTTTACTTTAAGCTGTCCTGATCCTTTTACAATTGTCCAGTGTAAGTGACACAGAAATTGAATGCTAGTGGATAATGGTGCAGGCACTATGTTCTGGATCAGGTTCTGTCTGTGCCCATTGCACCCCTTTTTTCTATTCCAGCAAAAGTGGCTGAAGTGACTTTTTCAAAGGGGGGGTCACCTCTGAATAGTTTCTCAGCACAAAGTAGCCACTCAGGGGTTGTCTGATACTCTTTAGGATCGAACCATGCAGTACGTTCTGTGTTAAAAGGAAATTTAATATGACATATCAGTGGGTTGAAGTAAAAATTGTATATGTTAAGAAACCAAATGAGTAAATTTTCTTTCATTTCTTGTCTCTGCTAAAAGCACTGTTCATTTCATTTCCATTCTTCCTTTACCCCTTCCCCCTGTTAAGAGTTGCCTCTATTGTTTCCCTCCCTTTTTAATAAAAACATTGCAGCAACACATATTTACAAGTTTACATTTCAGGTCCCAGGCTGTTTGTAAGTTTAATCTGGGATTTTTTTGTTAGTCTACACATAGATTTAACGGGTAATTCTATTCTCCCAGGCGATTATGTGGAAGAAGGAATTACCCCCACCCCTCCACGGCTGCCTGTGTAAGACCTGTACACAGCCCTGCACTCAGTACTTTAAATACCACTTGCAAATTGCAAACACTGTCGGGCAGGATTTGGATTTGGTTTAAATCATGATTTCAATTGCTAGTAAAAAGGTTCGATTTAAATCATCATTTTTAAAGAGCAACTGTCATCTCTGTCCCGCAGCGGCTCCTCTGACCCGCTGTTGACTCACCGATGGTCCCATTCACTTTAATGAGTAGCAAAAATGGAGATATTGCAGAATATACAGCCTCATGATACATAGCTAAGCTACATTTCATGCTGAATAAACTAAATTATGAATGTATCTTAAATAGAAAACTATCTTAGATTTTTACTCCAAAAGCATTTTATTAAAATAAATTTTATAAAATCAAAAAATCTGATTTTAAATTTTTTACATCGATTTTTTTTATCCACCCTGCTGTCAGGTGACCATGCTGACCAATGAGTGCTCACTATTTATTGAATGCAGAATTTAAAGTACAGGGCTGCACTGCTGTGTATGGGTCCTACACCAGCAGCCGTAGAAGGGAAGGAGTGTTTGTTGACAGGTAAGAGCAGCAGAGTGGGGGGAGAAGGGGCAGATTGGTAGGGGGGTAATGCCTTTTTCCCCAAATGTACTGGGGAAAGTGGAATTACCCTGTTTAAATGCACCTTTTGGGCATTAAAGCAGCACAGTACTCCCCTCCAGCAATGGGACATAGCAGGCTCCCTTGCACCAACCCCTTCACCCGATCTTCTTCTGGATTTAGGAACTTTGGCCATTTGATTGGCTGTGCTAGGTTGATGCAACTCCTGCACATGTGCAGGAGTTCAGTAATCCTAAAATTGTCAACTGATATTTGCATGCACCCCTCAGTGTACATTGTCAGGAAGATTATGAACAAGTAGCTAACAGTCTTTTTTTATTTCAGAAGACATAGTATGTTTCTTTTGTAGTAAAAAAAAATAACCAGCCTGCTTGTAACGTTTTTAGGAATATGGGGGGGTCCACTTTTCCACATACTTAGCAATCAGTAAAAGAGCTTTTAAAGCAAGCCTTCTAGATGCTTTGTACTATGGAGTAATTTAACCTCCACTATCACAAAAGACTGAAGTTGGTTTAAGTCAGTTTCTAAGGGCTTACAAGCACCTGCAGTGTTTTTACATCAAGTCCTCCAAGATTCTGCTCACTATCAAAAAAATAAAAGGGAAAATAGTTGTGATTTCAGCTCATGCACTGATACTCGCCACTTCTCTGGTACTTTACACACAGCCTCACTGCTGCATGTGCCAGTCCTCCTTCCTGTTTGAATGATTCCCTGTATTCAAACCCCTCCCTATGAGCCCACAAGGTCAAAAGCCTACCCCTTAAGGCTAAATTTGCCCTGGGAGTACAGTAGAACGCTGTGACACCTCATTGTATCTTGCAGCATTTAAGATCTGCCCAATCTTGCAGTTTCCTTTCACTTCATGTAGTTACACTTCTGTAAATAAGGTACTATAGATCTGGGTATATGAAGTTGGAATTTCATATGGACATTTGTACAAAAAAAAAAAAAAAAAACATCAAAAGATTTGATTATGCCATCAGAGACTTGCCAGGAGGTGCAATTTTGTTCATTTTATCTTTTGATGTTGGAATGAAAGGAGTTTCCTGAACAGAAAGCATATTCACTGTTACACTTGGATGAAAAATAATGATTTGACCCCATTAACTATTAGAAAATTGAACTAACGTTCCAAACACATGTTTTCGAATGAAATTGTAATCATGTATACCCAGCTTTACTTTGAGGTTTCCCTGTAGATTCAGCTATGCCCTTCCCAGTCTAGTGTCAGACATACTCGCATAGCGTAATGCCTTTTCTAAATAACAAAGCAAGGTGTGGCTCCTTAAATAAAGTTATCATCGGCTCTCAAGGACTATAGTTGAACAACATTCACATATAACAAAAAAAAGTGTGTGCAAGTTGTGTAGTGTTATGTCACACAGGCATGCACAAAATGCAATTCAAATCTACATCTATTTTTTTTTTTTAAGCACTGTTCATGTCAAGTATCTATTTGAAACACGTGTGTAAGCGCTGATAGTCGAAATAACCAAAACCAGAATAAAGATGCAACAAAGTCTTCAAGCAAATATAAGGAATTTTTCCATTATGACAATGTATTAATATAAATTATTATTCTCAGTCTGGACAGAAAAAGAATCCTCAATGTAAGTCTCCTAGGAATATACTGCCGCAATGGGCGACCCAGTTATAAAGAAGCAGTATGGCTATGCCAAAACTATATGGCTGCTTTAGAAAAAAGTTACACTGAAGAATAGAATCAACATGGTGAAAAGCTGAATTTGGTTGAAAATGACACATAGGACAACAAACATGCAGTTGTCTTTTTTTTTTTTTAAATAATTACTTTTTTATTACAATTTACTCATAACGCAAGCAAAAGGGATTAAAGGTACTAAAAAAAAAAACAATCATGCCTTGTATATCTTCTTTCAAGATTGCCCCTCTCATCTTTCTCCATGCTTTTTACTCTTTAACCCCTCCACAATGCTCTCTTTTAATAACCAAGATGGCTACGTCTCAAAGCAAAAAAAATAAAAAAAACCCTTACAATACTAGACAAAAAAAAAAAGGCGAAAGGATTTTTTCTCTCTCTCTCTCTCTCTCTCTCTCTCTCTCTCTCTCAATATATCCACTTTTTCTTTATTACATGGTGGAAGGGAGGGCTGAAATACCAATGACCTTTTCCTTTCTATATGTACTTTCAGGTTTATAAGTATTATGATATTTGTGACGACTTTAAAAACTCTCCATGGGCCCCACATTTCCTCAAATGCTAAACTCCTTTCTTTGACTCTGGCAGATAGTTCTTACATATGCATAATATATACCGTATTTTGCGCTCCATAAGGCGCACTTGACCATAGGACGCAGGGAGGGTAGGGTTCAGTGACAGCTGTAGTTAGTGACGGCTGAGACAGGTGGCGCTGTGATTACACAGAGCAGAACGGACGTTCTTCGTCTGGGCTGTATGGTGAGATCATATGCCGTAGTCACTGGTCCCCCAGAGAAGTAGGGGACACAGAAAACCACGGCGGGGGGCCCCCGGACATGATCGCCACTCGATTTTATACAAGTGATCTCATTAGATCACTTGTATTAAACGAGCAGCGGCTCCCCCTGTACATTTAGCTCTGCTTGTCCAGCCTGCTGACTTCCTTCAAGTAGCTGTCCATGGCAGTGCCTGTCTGGTTCTACAGCTCCTCCTTGCACAGCCATGGACATCCCCACAGTGCGCAGCTGGTGGTGACCACCAGTCACCAACTGGTCCGCAGTCTCCTGGGAAGTCCAGCTCCCAATCCAGGGCCGGAGAGGAGAAGAGAGAGGCAGTGCAGTAATGCCAGTGCATAAAATGGGGCAAAACGGCCGTATCCCTAAGATAGCAGAGAGGCTCGCTGTCAGTGCAAAGAGAGGAGCAGCATTGCCATGTCAGTGAGGAGACAGTGTGGCCTCGTGGGAGTAATGCCGTGTGGATGGACTGAGCTCTGCACCGAGCCATGTTACAAGGTAATGAGCCTAATAGTGTGTGCAGCCCTCTATTACATGTCCTCCCTTCATATTATACCCACAGCAGCCTGGACCCCCTCTGTCTGCCCTGTGTTATTGTATCCGCACCACAGTAGTCACTAGCACTCTCTCCCTGCCACACCTAAAACCAACACCCCCTCCCTGCCACCCCATCA